TCCACCGGCGTTGACGCCCACGTCGACGCCGCCATCGTCGTTCACCGGTCGAGGAGAGGCAGGCCGAGAAGGGGGGTGCTCCGCCGCCCACATGGAGCGGAGTCCTGCCTCGACGACTGCCCAGGGTATCGCCCCGTACTCCTGGGCCTCATGGCGTCTCCTCGCATCCTCCAGCCGTCCCTCCAGGGTGTCCATCACCTCGACGTCGCCTACGCGCACGCTAGTGACTGCACGGCTGCCGGTCTACGAACACGATCAGTAAGTGCTAAGTCGGCTAGACTGAACTACGTCGTGGTGTCGTCCACGCTCACCGTACCATGCGGAGATAACTGCTGCAACGGGAGCTAGACTACGGGCTAGGCACGTGTGCTCGTGTGATCTCTGCGTTCATTCGTTCCTTAGTCGTTTACTCGTGCTTGCACTACTTGCTGGTTCAGGGGGAATTCGGCAAGAGTTCCACTAGCAAAGGTTCACAACAATGATTGCAAGAACATTGGCATCACTGACTACATCGGAGCTAGCTAGGCTGCTGGTCGACCTCCAGCGCAGCATGGTCGACCGCGCTCCAGCGCAGCAGTGCTCGCACCGCTCCAGCGTTGCAGAGTAGCGGTGCACCAACGTTGCAAGTCCACGGTGTGCCAACGCTGCAGCAAGTCGGCTGCACAGCGTTGCACCCGCAGGACAACGGTGCACCTGCTTCGCAGGTGTGCGCAGCTGGTTGGTGCGCCCTTCCCTGTCACGTGCACAGCGCAGACGCCTGGCAGACTCCACGCCAGCGACTGCGCCCACCAGCCACGTCGACCTCGGGATACCAACCCCGAGGTCGGCCTCGCAGACTCCACCCCTCGCAGACCCCGGCGACACTCGCGCACGTCGCCCGGGTATCCCGGTCGACCGGGCAACCACGCCTGGCCGACCAGCGCAGTCCGTAGCCGGCCACGCATGCCCGGCGTCCCCAGTCCGGTGTCCAGGCGCCCAGGTTGCCGTCCGAACCCCCAGGTCGGCGTCCAGACGCCTAGGACGCCGTGCAGACCTCTAGGGCGGCGTCCAGCCTCCCAGGGCGCCGGCCAGACTCCCAGGTCGGCGTCCGGGCCCCCCAGGACGCACAGGTCGGCGTCTGGGCCCCCATGACGCCGTGCAGACGCCCAGGGCGGCGTCCCAGGCTCCTAGGACGCCGTGCAGACGCCTAGGTCGGCGTCTGGCCTTCCAGGACGCCGTGTAGGCGCCCACGACGCCAACCAGGCGCCCGGGTAGTCGTTCCGACGCCCTGGTCGACGTCCAGCTTCCCAGGACTCCGTCCAGGCGTCCAGGACGCCAACCAGGCGTCCAGGACGGCGTCCTCCTGCTCGGCGCCCTCCAGACAGGCGCCCTCCAGCTTGGCGCCCTTGCAGTGACCCCCGTGCCCACTGGTGCAGGTCGGCTGCAACCCCCGAACATCCGACCACGAGGTCGGCTCCGCCCAAGCGAGGACGGGGCCACACAACACTCCCGTTGACACACCGCACGCGTGTGGTCGTCCACAATGGTCAAGAAGTAGCGGCTGCCCGAGAGAGAAGGGACCCTCATGGGGCCCACCACGTCCATGTGCACAAGTGCAAGTGGAGCCTTCGCTGGTCCCGTGCTGCTGCTGAAGGGAAACTTCGTGAACTTGGTCTCAAGGCATGTAGGGCAGCTTCCAATCTCCTTTGCTGCCCCCTTCACCTCCAACCCCTTCAAGCTCCCATCCTTCACTAACTTCTGCAGCATAGGAATGTTGATGTGACACAACCTCTCGTGCCACGTCTCCCAATTGGCATCACCATTCCCAGATGAAGCCTTTGCCCATGCAGCGGTTGCATCCACACCAGCAAGCACCTCACCATGTGGCTGCTGTGACTGCTGCACCTTCTTGACTGCATCCAGGGCCCCACCAATTGGTGCAATCTCCTCTCCTCCCGCAGTTGTTTTAGTCGTTGCCACTACCGCTGCCGTTGCTGGTGGTTTCCCATTCCAAGGAATGATGGGCAGCTGCCAGAGGTCCTTGATGCAGCTGCTCTTCTCCTCCAAGTCCCACAGCAGCAACTTCCCAAGCTTTGCACGGCAGCTGGTTGGGCCAAAAGTCACTTTGGCCTTGCTTTTCTGCAGCCGGCGCACAGAGAGGAGGTTAGCGGACAAGCCTTCAACCAACAGCACATTCCCCAGCCCCACAAGCCCCCCATTAGCTCCCATTACCTTGGCATTCCCCACACCAATCACAGGGAGCAAAGCACCTGAAGCGGCAGCCACAAACTTGATCTTCCCAGGGGGTTTCACCTCGTCAAGCAAATCTGCCCGTGGGGTCATGTGACTTGTGCAACCTGAATCGATTACCCAGTGTGTGAGGGGGTGCATCACAACCTTCCCAACTGAACCCACATCACCCCCACTCCCTTGCACATCCTCAACCATGAGCAACATCCCAGGGTCGGCTTTACCTTGTGCACCATCACCTTGTGCACCTGAACCTTGCACAGCGCCACCTCGTGCACGTTCACCACTTGGCGGCTTCATGCCTGGGGGTGCCCATCCCTCAGGCCGGCTAAAACACTTGAACCACGGGTGTCCAGCCTTCTTGCAGTACCAGCAAGCTCCCTCCATTCGGGTGCTCCCCCTGCCTCTAGAGCTCCCATGCCCCACATTGTAGTCACCTCGGCCTCTCCCTCTGCCAAAGCCTCTCCCACGGCCTCGGCCTCTCCCTCCCCCTCTTCCTCTGCTGCCTCCTGCAGCTCCATACCCTTCAGCAGTTTTGTTGGCAGCACCACCTCCCGTGTGGCGCCTGCGGAAGTCCTCCTGCAGGATCTGCTGCCGTAGCCACTCAGGCGTCCACTTGTCCTGCTGAACGTTGTGGGTGGGGATGAGGTTATCCCACGAGTTGTCGAGCACCGAGATGATCTTGGTGCATTGCTGCATCTGCGATACCTCGCTGCCCGCCGCTGCCATCCTCGCATATGTGTCCTTGATCTTGTCAAGGACCGGCTTCACATCATCTCCCGATCGCATGGAGATGGCCGCCAGCTCCTTCTCGAGCACGATCACCATGGGCAGCGTGTTGGGCTGAATCACGTCGCGCAGTAGCTTCCATGCCTTTGGACCGGAGTCGTCCAACTCAACCAAGTCCTTGATGTGCTGGAACATGTCGTTGTTGACCGATTGCAAGATGAGGTCGAACAACACCGCGCTCCGCTCAATCCACCGATCCCGAGCATCTCCTTCCTCGGGCATCTTCTCTTCTCCCATCGCAAGTTTTAGCAGCTTGTAGCGCTTGAAGACGCTCCTCATCCGCCCGCTCCATTCCTCATAGTTGGAGCCATCCAACGCCTCAATCTTGGATGGTGGCGGCTCACTCCTCTTCTCAGCTGCTTCTTCACTCCCTTGACTCATCTCCTCTGCTCCCAATCACAGGTTTCAGCTCCCCCCTTTGCTGTCCACACCGAAGTCCCACAATATTTTCACAAGTGTCGGCGCCAACGAAATTTCGGCAGAGTTTCCCCTTAGCGGAAGTCACATCCAACCTCCAGAACTCCACTTAGGCACGCCCACAGGCCATGGTGGGTCCAGGAGGGTCTTCACACTTAAGTAGACTCTCCACGAAGTCCTTAATCAGCTCTGATACCACTTGTTAGAGACTAAGGACGGAGTCTATGAAGATTAGGAGCCGAAATATCTCAAAATCGTTGGGCCTAGTTTCTGAACAGAAAAGTCGATTTTACAAGAAACGCAGTCGACAAAAATTGCACTGTCAAAACTTCACAAAACTCAGATATGTTGTAGCCCTAGTCTGTGGCTACAATTCCGACTTTGAATCGTACGATAAGATGAAGTATTTCTTGAATTATGAATTTCGGCGCACTAGGGGGTAAGCTGCCATAGAATCTTAACTCAATCACAATCGTCTCAAAAGTTTTCACAAGAAAGTTAGAGTAGCTAGAAACCAGGTAGGAGGGGATGAGAAGGACGAGAGGGGAGATCCCAAGGGAGTCCCCAACCAAGGAAACCCCATGCCACACAACTCCCCTCTCTCTAGGCAACCCCAACTTTGACCTTTGTCACTTTCCCAACCTCCACAATCCACCTCACCCAAGTTGGCCACACTTGCCAACCTGGTTTGGCTCCTCCCAACCACTTGGCAGCATCTACAGTGATGTTGACGAATTTCCCAAACCCCAAAAGTCTGTACCCCTTATGGAGTCAACCCCACAACTTCCCATAGTCACCACAACCAAATATCAAAAGCATACGAACTTCCAACGTTCGTAACTTTCTTGTTCGTGCTCCGATTGAAGCGATACTTAGTTCGTCGGAAAGCTCTTGAGCAGAGGAGTCACTTCAGATATCTGCTCAAGCCAAATAACATTCACACACACTCAGAAAATCCAAACCACACTAAACACAAATTTCTGCACACGCTCACACCACGCATGCAACGCACGAACATGTGATGGGAGGCAGACAGACGTGAATGCAAGTGATAGCATCACATAACAATTTCCTGCAATTGACCCGATAGGAACTGCGCCGCCCCGTGGTCCGGGCCCACAAAACTTCCCAGTAGCCGCACGCCGTTCTGGGAAAAATGGACTCCTGGCGGAAGTTGTTCCTTCGTTGCCGCGGCTCTGCTCCACGCTGCGCATTTTCGTGGGTTGTGTGTCAGCCCCAGTTGTGCCAAACCGGCTGTAAAATGGTTGAATGCGGCTACAGTGTCGGCCACATTTCCAAGAAATATGACGTCGTCTCCGTAGGCCATACAAAGCACGTCGGGGTGCGTGTCTGCAGTGTCGCGGAGTGTGGTATGCATCCCTGCCGCAAACAGTAACGGCCCAAGTGGGTCTCCCTGGCGGACTCCGCGTTCACTGCGCAGAGGTTCGGAATTGAAATTGACATCCAGGAGCAGCTGCGACGGGTTACCGTAGGTTAATTTCACGAACGGCAGCAGTGGCGATAGGGCAGGGGCTTGTAACGCGGTGGCGATGGCTTTTCGCGAGATGCTGTTGAATGCGTTCGAAATGTCTGCTTGCAGGGCCAGGCTGGAGGGGTGTGCGTCTAGGAAGGCCTTGGCCGCGTGGATCACTGTCTCGGCTCCACCTGGCACTGCCACGCCGTATTGTAGCGGCAGAAAGAAATCGCGGGCAGCTTCTCCCATTGCTGACAAGGCCGCCTTGGCTGCTAGCCTTGTCAAATATTCGCCGATCGCGATTGGCCTAGCACCTCCCCCAGGTTTGGCCAAGGCGATGAGGCGTGATGCGGTGAGGAGGTTTGCCACCGAGTCTGGCAAATTCCCTCCCAGAACGGTGTTGATCAAGGCGTGCAGATGGGTGCGGACCAGTGCATTGGTGATCGCCGCGTCGCGCAGGTGTTCAAATGTCATCCCCGACGGCCCGGCCCCAACCCCATTTTCGCATCTGCCCAACATTTTGGCGAAGTCTGCAAGGGGGATTGAAAGTGTTGACCCCTGTGGCGTGGGCCACGTCACCTCCTCGTGTTCAGCGGGTGGGTGCTTCAAGTGCAGTTCCTCCAGGATTTCGAGGCTGTGAGTGCAGACGGGCGTTGACTCCAGAACCAGCACGGCCCGTCGCAGGCTGCCACGTTTCGCCAAGCCCTCAGCTCGGTTGAGCACACCAGTCGCGTCGGGCTGGTGCCGTGGCGGTGGTGGTGTGTTGACTGTGTCCACCGCGTCCAAAAACAGCTGCTTCCATTCGCCACGCTGGAAGGCTCGGAGCCAAGCCTTGATTTTCGGCCAATTCGGGCGTTGTGGCGAGGATTGGCGAAGTTTTAGGCGCGGGAGAAACAACAACAAGCGCCATCCTGTCTCAGACTGAGTGTTTCGTGAGAGGTGCAGTAACGGCGTCAGTAATGCCAGTGAGAACAGCTGGCACAAATTGGGTTGTAAGCGCCGCGACAGCGAAGGCTGACGACTATCGCACAGGGCTGTGATGTCCCAATTCCCGATGGAGGAGAACAGATCTGTTCACTTCGCCAGTTCGTCAGGCAAAAAATAGCTGGGTGTCGAGGCGCCTGGACACGTCGCAGCATCTGGAGTCGCGGTCCGATTTCGCCGAACACGGCCCGATCGCGCAGGGGAGGCAGTGGTTGGAAGTACTCCCGTCCGATCGGCATCGTACGGTGTGTGTGCCAACAAGGGCGTTTGCACGCCTGTTTGCTCCCTCACTGCCTCCCTTCTCCCCGATCTCTCCCTCGCCCCTTCGTCTTCCTCTTCTGCCTCGTCATTCTCGCTCTCAGCAGTGATTTCCTCCCTATAAGAGGGATCAGCTAACTCATCATCCTCATTAGCTGCTTCCAAGTTGTTTAAAGCCACACGTGCTGCCGCTTGGTATCCATTCTCTGGGCCTCCGCCTGTCCCGCTTTCTGTTCGCCTTCCCGCCCCACGACTTCTCCGCGCCTGAGATGGTGATCGCCAGAGCTCGTTGCCGCTTGGTCGGCATCCGTCGCCAAGCCCCCGTCGGTGCCCGAAAGGGCGACCATGGCGACGAAGCCTCCAATACCGTCGGCTCTGCAACCCGGGATAGTAGGCGCTGAAAAGACTCCTCCCCACGCACCCGCGGAGCCCCTTGCTGCGTCGGAGGCTGGCCCGTCTGCCCCTGCTGCTGTTCCGTCTGCTCCGCCTGCGGCCCCTGGCCCCCCGGCTCCCCTTGACGAGCCGTCGGCGTCTGCTCCTGACGGGGGTGTTGCTGATCCCCCAGCACCTGTCCTTGGCGTCCCTGTTGCGCCGACCGCTTCTGTCCCCTGCTTGCCTGCCCCGGCCTCTGCTTCGTCACCAAAGGTGGCGTCCGCCACCACTGGCGAGCCGGCTCCGATGGTTGCGCCCTCGGCGGCGGGTCAGTCTGCCCCTGCTATGACGCCGGTGACTCCGGTCGGCCAGCTGTCACGCCCTCCGTCACCTGACCATCGCTCGTCGCGCCCCCATTCCCCCGCTCCCCACCAGGAGCGCAAGTCGTCTCGTCACCGTCGTGAGTCTCCACAGCGGTACCAGCAACAATCGCACTGGCCTGCTCACCCCGGGGGTCAGGGGGATTGGAGGGGTCCTCGCGCTCGTGGCGGGGGTGGGGGGTATCGCCCGCCCGTGACGATGGCGGATCTTCAGCGGGAAGTGTCGAGGGCGGTTCGTGAGGAGAGGGCGGCGCAGAGCCAGAGCAGTTCGCTGCGCGCCTCGCCCGCCCACGAGGCTCCTCGTCCGGCCGCGCTCCCCCCGAACCTGCAGCCTGTTGCTGCGCCTCCCCCTCAGATCCTTGCGCCGCCAGCTCCTTCTCCCGCTGTATCGGCACCTGCTCCCGGCTCTCGTCTCCATCTGCCGCCAGTTCCGCTCGTTGCGGGAGTGGAGTTTGTGGCCGCGGGTGGTGGCGCGATGGCGGCTCCGTTTGCTCTCCCAGTTGATGCTGATGAGGCGCTCCAGTTCCTGGCGGAGGCACTCCAGCCTCCGCAGACCCGTGTTCCCGAGGCGACACTCGGACAGCTCCACCGCCTCGCTGGCAGTCTCCACGCGCTGTTGCTGATTCAGGTGCTGGCCCACTCGTCTCTCCCTGTGATCCCTCTTGAGACCTTCCGTGGCCGCCAGCGTGACTCTTGCCTGGACGCGGCGGACCGCATGTAGTTGCGGGCTCCGATTGCCCCATGTTTGATTTGCTTGTCTAGGTTGCCGTAGGAAACGCCATGCTTGGAATGCCTTTGTTTATGAGCAAATGTGTGTATTGCCACTTGCTGTCCCCTCACGCGCGGCCGAAGGCCGCGCTGTCGAGCGTCTGCCGCCGAAGGCGGCCGGCGCGAGCGAAAATTCCTGCACCAGCCGAACAATGAGGTGAAGGGGCCCAGAGGGGCCTCTTATATAGCTCACAAAGGAGAGGGCAGGGGACTAAAGGGAGAGGACAGAGGCTAGAATCCTCTCTCTCTCTCTCTTGCTCTCTCGAACAAAGCGAAAATTCCTGCACCAGCCGAACAATGAGGTGAAGGGGCCCAGAGGGGCCTCTTATATAGCTCACAAAGGAGAGGGCAGTGGACTAAAGGGAAAGGACAGAGGCTAGAATCCTCTCTCTCTCTCTCGCTCTCTCGAACGAAGCAAAAATTCCTACACCAGCTGAACAATGAGGTGAAAGGGCCCAGAGGGGCCTCTTATATAGCTCACAAAGGAGAGGGCAGGGGACTAAAGGGAGAGGACAGAGGCTAGAATCCTCTCTCTCTCTCTCTCTCTCTCTCTCTCTCTCTCTCGCTCTCTCGAACGAATGGAAAATTCCTGCACCTGCCGAACAATGAGGTGAAGGGGCCCAGAGGGGCCTCTTATATAGCTCACAAAGGAGAGGGCAGGGGACTAAAGGGAGAGGACAGAGGCTAGAATCCTCTCTCTCTCTCTCTCTCCCTCTCTCTCTCTCCCTCTCTTTCTCTCCCTCTCTCTCTCAAGCAGTCCTTCATTGATAGTTTCATAGAGGTACAGGCATTAGCAAGAGCAAAGTACTTAACAGGCCTAATCCTATGAGCAACCGGTTATGCGAGGCAAGGCCAAGGTAGGCACAACAAGTAGCCAGTGGGAGGTCGGGCTGGCAAACCAACGGTACCGGCAGGTCAGGACCTTGAGGGTAGAAGAGGCAACGCAAGGCACAAACAGGCATGGCAGGCAGGCAAGGCAGCTCCAAGCCGAGCAGGGCAAGAAAGGCCAGGCAAGGAAGGCAGGGCACGGCAAACAAGACAAGGCAAGGCAAGCAAAGCAGGTTGGTAACACTCAGCTACACACCTAGCCCGCAGCTATCCTGCTTACTGACCCATCACTCCGTCCATCTCATCCTCAAGGACCTGCCAGAGGTCCCCTAGGCTAGGTTCCCAAGGGTCCCTAGCCGTCTGTGAGAAGGCTGCCACGTCACCTATGTTAGAATTGTTCAGGAATGACGTCGCCTGTGAGCGCTGGAGCATGACACTGAAGCGCTGCCTGTAGTGAGCGGTGAGTCTTGCGATGGTGGTGGTGAGCCTCCCCTGGCGGAACCTCCTTTTTGCCGTCGAGGTTGCTAGCAGGCGGATAAACTGCTGTGTATCCGTAGCTAAGGCACCGTACGTCTCCACTGCCAACCCAAAGAAACCCACGTAATCAGGCCGCCCCTCATAGATCCTGTGTTTCCTCTCCGAGGCTTCCCTTGCCGCCCATCCAGGAGGCTTCCGAGCCCGTTTGTCGCGGCACTGCAGCACTGGGTCAGTCACGGTCACATCGGTGACCCATGTCTCATTCGACTCCTTGTCACGAATAGCGAGATCACCTGTCTTCCTGATCACCGGTGGGGAGAAGGCAGTGGTTTCGTGGAAGACGGTGAAGTCGGCCTCCTTCGCCATCCGGAGCAGAGCGAACACCAGGGCATTGTGCGTGCAGATGACATCTCCCCCGTAACCACACCTCAAGAGGTGGTTTGCTAGGCTCGTGTCGGAGATTGCCGTGTTGGCACGCTTGCACGGGCAGGCAACTGTGACTGGGAGGGCCATGCCGAGGCGGAAGCCAAGTGCTAACGAGTACTGACCAGGGGCAAATTTAAGGTCAGATCTCGTTGGGATGGCATGGAGCCAGTCCCCCGCTCCCACCCCTTGCAAGCTGATGAGCCGCACTGCGTGTCCCCGGTCCTTCCCTGGGCGGTCCTCTATCGTGTCAGCCAACAGCTCTGCCGCCCTTGTCTCGTTGATGTGGCGAGACAGGGTCAGTTGAAGGTTCCCTTGCCCTGTCGGCTGCTCCCTGTAGGTGTGTAGTGCCGCCCGTGCAGCCACGGGCAGCCCAACTTCCAGTGGTGTCAGGGGGTTGAGACCAGGTGGGTCAGGGGACCACTCGTGGTTCAGCAGCTCGACCGCCCTGCTCAAGAGGTAGGCCTCAGGTAGGTTCATCTGCCGTAAGAGTTGCTGCGCCGCTGTGACCGAGGCAATGTAGGCGGCAGGTGCCTCTGAGACAGGGTCAATAATCCCCAATCCCCCCAACCTGACCGGTAGAGTTCCCTGACGCCACAATAGACTCCTCTCCAGCTCGTTTGGGGGTACCCGAAGCTTAGCCGCTGCTAGTGCTGCTGCCATCATTGTTTCGCTCCAGCCCCTCCACCCCTCTCTCTCCAATACTTCCGCCGGTGTCGTCCTCAGAAGGTAGGAGATTCGGCGGGATATGCTCCTCGTGAGGATGAGCATCGCGCTTTGCGGGTGGAGCTGCGCCACCAGAGGTAATGGGGCCGACGCCTCATCTAGCCTCGACTGTGCTTGGGTGGTGCAAAAGGCAGGCGAGCCAACTGTGCTGCAGGCCGGTAGTAGGTGCCGTGCCGTCATCGTCCTCGAGGGTTTGTCCCCATGCTGATGATTTTGCGACGTTGCAGCGGAGGCCGAGGGTTGCCAGCTCCCTTGTGATGGTCCCAAAAGCCTCGTGGCAGGCCTCCTTCGGCCCCACTATCGTTATGTCGTCAGCGTAGGCTACTATGGCGACTTCTGGTAAGAAGGTTGCCGTGCTAAGCAGGCACGGTTGAATCGCAGCCGCGAAGAGTAGTGGGCCGAGCGGGTCCCCTTGACGCACACCCCGTGACAAGAGGATATGGTTCACCCCTAGACGCTCATCTACTAAGAGAGACGAAGGTGCCCCATAGAGTGTTCTGACAAGAGGCATGAGCTGCAGCAAACTGGACTGGGAGAGAGCGTTGAAGAAAGCCGCCTGTTCGACGCTGTTGAAGGCGTTTTCTATGTCCAGCTGTAGCGCTACTCGTGTGTCATCGTCTCTTAGTAGTGATCTGACGGAGTGTGTGATACACTCAGCGCCTCCCGGTATCGCCACCCCAAACTGCATCGATAAGAAAAACTCTTTTATGTTGTCCGTTAAACCTCTCAATGCTGCCTTAGCCACGATGCGAAGTATAGCTTCCCCTATCGCGATAGGGCGGACGCCTCCTCCTGGCTTTTCTAGGGCGATTAACCGTGAAGGCAGCAGCAGGTCGCGGGTCGATTGAGTTTGGAACGTGCTCAGCAGGTAAGTCACTGTCTTAGCGAGTAGGATAAGCACCTCTCCGTTTGCCAGTGCCGGATCCTTGAGGTGTTCAAAACAGGTGCCTGATGGGCCTGCTCCAACCCCGTTCGGACATTTCTTGAGAATTTCGCGAAGCTCGTCCGCCAACACGCTGAGGGTCGAGCGGTTGAACCCAGTAACTAGGCCTGGCAGCGATGTTTCAGCTGCGGGGTGTTTGGCTTGGAGTGTTGTCAATGTTGTCGCCGTCGCTTCTGCGAGCGGGGTGGTCCGCATTGAAGAGCTTCCGCGCAGCTTTGTCCGCCAGCAGCTTCAGGAAGGTTTGGCACCTCGTCACAGGGGCAGCCATAGGTCTCAACTGCCAAGGGGACAAGCCCTGCAAACTCCGCCCTGTTGAGGTAGAGGTCAATTATTTTGTCCGCGGCCTCCCGTGCTGCCCAGCCCCTCCCCTTCCTTACTGTCTTGTCCCGCTTGCTGATGGGGTCCGTGATTGTGATATCTGCCAGCCACACCGCCCCCGAGCTCCCATCCCTAAAGGCCAGGTCAGCCTTCTTGTTGTCCACCGGACTGAAGGCAGTGCACTCCTTGTGCACTGCAAATCGTGCATCCTGCGCCATGCGGATGCACTCGTCGCACAGCTCGTTGTGGGTGTTGGTCCGGCCGTGTCCTGTACCACACCTAAGCAAGTGGTTCGGCAGCCTCTTATCCAGGATGGGGACCCGTTTGGTGCAGTCACAGCAGTCGGGCACAGAGAGTGGCAGGCCGAGCCTAAACTGGAGGGCGAACGTGAAGTGGCAGGGGTATAGGCGTAGGGAAGGCATGTAGGGGATTGCCATGAGCCAGTCCCCAGCTTCATAGCCCGTGAGGGACATGAGGCGCTGGGTGTGGCCTAGCAGGGGGTTCAGCTCCATCTGACTAGATGCGGTAATCTGGGCTGCACTCCGGCCCCCTTGGACTAGGAGAGCGAGGCGGTGCTGCAGCTGGCCCTTGGGTTTTGCCTGCTCCGCCGAGATGAGGTCCCTCGCCTCCTACGTGAGGGTGTCCCTGCAGTCCCCGATCCACCTCTGCAGCTCGTTGGGGCTGTGGTTGGCTGCTGCAGGGGTGTCTAATGCCGCTGTCAAAGTGGCCCCTGCCTGCCCCTCTAGCTGACCGAGGAGTGTGTGTGCTTGCACAAAGCTTGCCAGAAAACTGTTTTGGCCCTCTACCGCTAGGTTGGCGAGGCCCAGGCCGCCTAGGCTTGGTGGGAGTGAGGCTTGGTCCCAGATACGTCCGTCCTCTGTCTCTCCCCTTGGGTGGCGCACCCCGCAAGCATCTAGAAGCGTGTACAGCAGCGTCCGGCCCCACCCTGACCACTCTGCTTCGGGTAACAGGTATAGGGGTGTGGTGCGGGCTAGGTAGGAAATGCGCCTGGAGATACACCGTGTTAGGAGTAATGCCGCTACTTGAGGTCCATTTTTGCTAAATGGGGCAGCGGGGACGACAGTGTCTCGAGCTGTGATCGTAGAAAGGCTGCTGCTCCGTCTGTCGTGCCAATGAAGCTTCCCAGCACTCTCAGCCCCTCCGTGCGTAGCGGGACGCCCTCGGACAGCTGCTGGGGGTCTATTGCTGCTGCGCTCCACGCGGCGCACTTCTCTGGG